AAACCATGGGCAAAGAGTTAAAGAAATCAGAACAGTAATTGGTAAACAGAAGATTATCAATGAAAAGATAGAAATTATAAAAAAGACTTTTAAAAAATCTAGAGCTAAAAAATAATCAAAATTAAAATGTTACTAGAAGATTTCAATAGTAGATTTGATCATGCAGAAGAAAGAATAATATAACTAACAAATATGTCAAAAGACAGCATAAGTATGAATAACAGAAAGGAAAAAGAATGAAGATCAATAAACAGAATTGTAGGGACTGTGGGACACCATCAGGAATACCAAAATACATACAATGGTGTCATGGGAAAAAGGAGAAAAGAGTAGAAAGAATATTTGAAGAAATAATACTACAAAGCTCTCCAAATTTGATTAAAGACAAGAATCTATATACCCAGGGAGCTCCAATAATGATAAATGCAAAACGATCTATACTAAGACAGATAATTTGATTGCCAAAAGCCAAAGTCAAAGAAAGAATCTTGAAAGCAGCAAGTAAGAAATGTTTTGTGACCTACAAGGAATCTACTATAACATTATCAGTCATTTTTTCACTAGAAATCATGAAAGCCAGAAGGGAAGAATACATTTTTCAAATGTGACAAGAAAAGCAATCTGTCAACCACAATTTTGTATCCAGCAAAACTATCCTTCAAAAAACAAAGGACAGATTAAGAAGTTTTTAGGTAGGGTGGTGCCTGTGGCTCAGTGGGTAGGTCACCGGCCCCATATACTGAGGGTGGCAGGTTCAAACCCAGCCCCAGCCAAACTAAACTGCAACAAAAAAATAGCCAGGAGTTGTGGCAGGTGGCTGTAGTCCAAGCTACTGGGAGACTGAGGCCAGAGAATCACCTAAGCCTAGGAGTTGGAGGTTACTGTGAACTGTGTGACATCACCACGTTCTACCAAGGGCAATAAAGTGAGACTCTGTCTCTACAAAAAAAAAAAAAAAAGTTTCCAGATAAATAAAAGCTGAGAGCATGTGTTCTTAGCATACCTGCTGTAAAAATAAAGTTAAAGAGAGTTCTTTAGGTTGCTATTAAAGGGAAGATAAGCCATTCAAAAAGCCTTAAGAAGAAATAAAGAACTCTGATAAAGGTAACTACCTAGGTAAATATAAAAGCCAGTATTACTCAGTTTTTGATTTATAATCTTTTTATTTCCTATATTATTTAAGAGACAAATGCATTTCAAAAAACATAAATTTATATTAATGGACAAACATTGTATAAAGAGTTAATTCGTGACAAAACAAAGGGGAGATGAAGGTATAGAGGAACACATATTTTGTGTGCTAGTGAGGTAAACTTGGTTATCAGTTCAAACTAGATTGTTGTAAATTTAGGATGCCAATTGTAATTCCCATGGTAACTACTACTAAGAAACCATATTAAAAATATGCCCAAAGGGGAGTGATAAGGGAATCAACATAGCACACTACATAAAATTAATTTATTATAGGAAGGCAGTAATTGAGAAAATGAGGAACAACTATAACAATGGAGAAATATTTTGGAAATAGTAAAAAGATTAGTTGTTGCCAGGGATGTGGGGAAAGAAAAGAAAGGACAAATAGAATTTTTAGGGCATTGATTTTGTATAATACTGTAATGGTGAATATATTTCCTTATACATTTTGAAAAACCATGGAATATACATCACAAAGTGTGAACTATAATGTAAACTATAGACTTGGGTTGATAATGGAGTGCTATTGTTCCTCTGTTCCTTATAAGAAATAGATACCACATTGGCATTTGACATACTGATGATGGAAGAGGTTACAGGTATGTGTAGAGAAAGGGTATGCAGAGGCTCAGCACCCATAGCTCAGTGGGTTAGGATGCCGGCCACGAACAGCAAGGCAGATGGGTTCGAACCCAGCCTGGGCCTGCTAAACAACAATGACAACTGCAACAAAAAAATAGCCAGGCATTGTGGTGGGCTCCTGTAGTCCCAACTACTTGGGAGGCTGGGCAGGAGAATCACTTAAGCCCCACAAGTTTGAGGTTGCTGTGAGCTGTGATGCCAGGGCGTTCTACTGAGGGTAACATAGTGAAACGCTGTCAAAAAAAAAGAAAAGAAAGAAAGAGTATTCTGAGAAGAATGAGCTCAAATTAAGCTAACTTCACACCTACAGGACTTGAATAAAAAGAGCAAATTAAACCCAAAGGTAGCAGAAAGAAAAAAATAATAAAGATTAGAACAGAGGCAAATGAAACAGAGTTGGCTTCCTTCACTCTGGAAGCCAACTATTCCTGTATTTTACTTTGTTAGAAAGTCTTGGGTTATAATTTTATTACTTGTTCAAAAGACTGCCAAGATTTCTATTTTTCTTGAGTCAGTTTTGGTAATTTGCATTTTTAAGAATTGTTTCCATTCTATCTGGGTCATATAATTCATTGGCATAAAATTGTTTACAATATTCTGGTTTGACCTCTTTTATTTTTGAAAGGCTAGTTGTAATGTCTCTCTTTCTACATCCGATATTGGTTATTTGCATATTCTCTCTTTTTTCTTAGGTTAGCTAAATATTTCTTGATTTTGTTGATCTTTCCAAAATACTTACATTTGTTTTCATTGATTCTCTCTATCCTCTGTTTCAATGGTGAATTCTGCCAAACATTTAGATAAAAATTAACACTAATACCTCTCAAGCTCTTTCAGAAAATAAAAGAGTAGGAACAATTTCTAAAATATTTTATGTCATCAGCATGACTCAGATACCAAAGCATGACAAAAGTACTGCAAGAAAACTGCTGATTAATAGTCATTATGAATATAGATGAATAATCCTCAGAAAATACTGGCAAGCTGAATTTTTAAAAATTATTTAGAGGTTTATACATGATGACTAAGCAGGATTTATTCTTAGAATGAAAACATAGTTCAACATAAGAAAATTAACAAATGTAATTACCACATCAATAAATGAAGAAAAAACACAATCGTCTCATTGTTGCAGAAAAAACATTTGGCAAAATTCAACACCATTTCATGAGAAAAAGCACTCAGCAAGCTAGCAATAGAAGGTTGCTTACCCATTATGAAGGGCATCCAGGAAGATCCACAGCTGTCTGGTGAAGGACCAACTACAGAATACATATTGTTTTTTACATGCACATTGAATAATTTCAAGATAAAACATATGTTGGATAAGAAAACATGTCTCAGTGAATTTTAGAATATTGAAATACGGCTCGGCGCCTGTGGCTTAAGCGGCTAAGGCGCCAGCCACATACACCTAAGGTGGCGGGTTC